GTTCTCTTGAAGTTTCGTTTCGGTCCATCAGGTGGCGGCTTAGGGCTCCGGCACTCACCAAAGGCTTAGTCAGCCTTTTCTCCGTGATGATGGACAGGGAGGCGGCCATGATGAACTGCTCGGAAGAGAGAGGAAGCGGGTCAGTGTCTGCCTGCGGAGCAACTGCAGTGTCGCTGTCGCGCGCTTTATGGAACCCTCCCACGGGAGAAGCCCCGGGGATCCAAGGAACGACCACGTAAGATTCATTTAAATCCGTAGTTCTTTTTTTCTTTTGCCCATATAGCGTTCAGATAGCAAGAGGAAAGGCAGTTATAAGCAGAAATCTATCCTAGTAAACAAAATCAAGACCTTAAAAGCCAGGAAATAAGTTTTGAAGGCTTTTTTTTGGACAGGATCTTGCTCTGTCACCCAGGATGAGTGCAGTAGTGTGATCATAGCTCACTGCAGCATTGAAATCCCAGGCTCAAGCACTCCTCTCCCCTCAGCCTCCCAAGTAGTTGGGACTACAGGCATATACCACCACGTCTGGCAATTAATTGTGTGTGTGTGTGTGTGTGTGTGTGTGTGTGTGTGTGTGTGTGTGTGTGTGTGAAGACAGGGTCTCACTATGTTGCCCAGGCTGATCTTGAGTTCCTGACCTTGAGTAATACTCTTCCTTGCCCTCTCAAAAAGGTGAAATTATAGGCATGGGCCACCATACTCAGTTGGTTTTGATTTTTTAATGAAATAATAAAATTTTGGAGTAAGATGTTCTCTAGAGAAAGATATGAAAGCAATAATATGAAAAAAAAGAATAAGGAATGATCATGTGGCTTTTGCCCTTCATTATATTGATGTGATGTATCATGTATTGATTTATGTATGTTGAACTATCCTTGCATCCCTAGCATAAATCCTACTTAATCAGGGTCAGTGATATTTTTAAAGTGCTATTGAATTTGGTTGGCTAGTATTTTGTTGAAGATTTTTGCAGCCTTGTTCATTAGGGATATTGGTCTGCAGTTTTCTTTTGTTGTAGTGTTTTTGTCTGGATTTGGTATCAGTAATACTAGCCTCAAAAAGAGTTTGGAAGTATTCTCTTCAACTTTTTGAAAGAGGTTGAAAATTTTTGTTAGTTATTCTTTGAAAGAAAAGAAAATTGGGGGAGGATAACAAATATGGATGGACAAAGATAAAGATTTTAAGTTGTTGACTCTCCATGCTAAGATAAAATGGTAAATGAGAACAGAAGGAAAGATGAGTCTGAATGGCAGAAAACCTTCAAGGCTGTGTTTATAAAACCAAAGAAATTGTTTTTGTTCTCTAAAGTACTCCTAATCTAATAGGCTTAGAGCAGCTAAGTGACAGAAAATTATTTGACAGTAGAAGAAATGGTACAAAACAGAATTTGTGGTTCCTATAATGCCAGTATTAACTAACTTGTCTATATAAATAAATATTGAGGCCAGATATGGTGGCTCAGCCTGTAATTCCAGCACTTTGAGAGGCCAAGGCAAGAGGATTGCCTGAGCCAGGGGGTTCAAGACCAGCCTGGGCAACTTGGTGAGACCTCATCTCTACGATAAGTCAAAAAATAAACTGGGCATGGTAGTGTGCCCCTGTAGTTCCAAATACTTGGAAGGGTGAGGTGGAAGGATCACCTTAGCCCAGCAGTTTGAGGCTGCGGTGGCTGTGAGCATGCCACTGCACTCCAGTCTGCGTGACAGAGTGAGACTCCAACTCAAAAAAAATGTTGAAGCTTAAAAAAAAGGACTAGATGCCTCTCCAAATTTGGATTATGCTTAGTGACTTGGTTCCAAAGAGTATAGAAAGAGGAGAGAAAGAGGTAGTAAGTTTGCAGAGGAGAAACCTGAAAAGCACTACTTCAGCCATATGACCAAGGTTATTTTCATCAGTGACATTATGCAGATAGCATGCACCCTTGATATGACTTTGTGAAAATGGTACTTTACCTCTGTCATCTTCACCTAAACATTTATCAGCTTAGTCTAAATGTTAGGACAATAATAGACAAACCCAA